TGAGTAATGCCTATAAAAAAATTGACGAAAGAATTGTCAAAACTGGAAACACAACGGGTATTTCATAAAAGAGCAAGGAGAAGAGAATGATCTTGAAGAACTTATTGAATGAAAAAAAAAATTCAACTTACCAGTGTTGCAAGTACGGTGATTCCACTTCAAACAGCCATCGCACTGTATCGCTTGTTGTCTTGTTGTTACGGTTTGATTGCAAGAAATGCATTTGTCGGCCATAGTTGAATCGTTGAAGTAATAATCGTTTTCGCGGAATATACAATGTAGAGACGTGCCCGAATGGTGATCAATGATCGGAATGCTTGTTTTACTACTCGTACTGCTTTTATACACAAAGGTGGTTAGTTAATTAATTCTTAAGGATCACATTAAATTCATCTTAATCGTGATTTGTTGTTTTCTCTTACTGAGGTGAGAACTCGTGCCAATTATTTGCTGTTAAATGCATCACAATGGCTCGCGCGCGTGTCTTCTAAGAGGTTAAGTTTCTTTTGTTTAACTATTCATACACCGCTGTCGATGAAACTTTAATTTTATGTAAGTTAAAAATGATGATAGAATTGAAATAAAATTTCGGTAAAGGATGCGGTTGACTCCGATAACTCGAACCCTCGCTAACTCGAACCAAGGTCGATTTCCCCTGGATTTCAGTCTCACATTTACTGTAATGTAAGAACACTCCCGCTAACTCTAAGTAATTTTTGTTTCCCTTCAGAACATTTCTAGACAATTTTACCCTCGATAACTCGAACCATGTTATAAACGCGTGACAAGTCGGGAAACGAAATCTTATAATTAAAGCCGCACCGTGATTGCCGTATCAAAAGCTTCATATCTTTTTACGGCAACAGGATTAAGGAGTATAAATTACAGATATTGCTCGTGGTTTATGGATACAATCGAACTCTAAAATGTGAACTAACATACCCAGCGAATTCGGCATGTTTGCGAAATCGAATGTCACGCCGGAATTCGAACTCGACAAGTAGCGCCGAAAACCGGCGTAAACCGTGACAGGTTTCTCTCGCTGTTTAATCTAAAACCACTTTACATCGTGGTACTTTATTTTATTTTCTGTGTTGTGGTCAAAAATCGACAAACAGATTAATCCGACAAACATAAGCTCTCGCCATTGTGTGAATAGTTCCCCCATCGTTCCGCAATGCATAGTGAAATTAACATACGCAACATTATGTAAATAGTTCTGAAAATACTTTCATCCATATTCCTATCGCTAGTCTGTACTCTGATAACATTTACACATTTAGAAAATAGATATAACGTATGTGGAACGAAGTGACTATTTTGTGGAACGAACTGACTATTTTGTGGAACGATCTGACTACTGATTGGAACGATCTGACTTGGAACGATCTGACCATGGAACGAAATGACCGGATACCCTTGCGGATGCACCTTTTATCACACTCACCGCGACCGCTACGCCGAAAACAAAAGCGAAAATATTCGAACTTTTGGAGTTGAGAGAACCCAAGGAAATTGTAGAAAGTCCAAACAAACCTAATGTGCGCTATGCAATTCAAAAACTTAGGAACTCTCTACCGGGACTCTGTAAAGTGCGGATCCGGACGGCGGATCCGGACGGCGGATGCGGACGGCGGACGGCGGACGGCGGACAATAATAATTTTAAAAAATAAAAATAAATAAAATAGACGTAAATAATAAATAATGAGAAAAAAAAAGACTGAATAATGAGAAAAAGATGTAAATTTTTGTAAACTTTAGAGAAATAAGAAATATTCACTAGCAACCCGGAGTGCTCTTGTGTGTATCAACTGTTGGTGTTCCAAAAATCATTTTCTTTCTTCTATCCCTTCTTTAAACCTCTTCAAATTCCATTTAAATTCAGCTATCTATTTATTTTAGTTATTCTTTAGAGGAATGACTTAAAGGGGCTATGTCGCGAGGTTTCGCCTAATTTTAGTAACTTTAATTTACACTTTTATCTGTCAAAATTCTTTTGTCCACTGATACGAAAGGAACCAGGACTCGAAACGGAACCAGTGGCCACGTACACAAGAGCTATTGCTTTATTTTTATTTAAGTCCAACAATTTCATCGCTCTTTTCTCAAGCGAAACAAAATCAAAAAAATGTTAGGTTTGTCTGTGGCGGTAAAGAAGTACAAAGCGAAGACTCTGGTACCATGTTAATATGCTGCAGCGTACTATATTTAGTCAACAGAGGAGAAGAACCTTCGTCCAACAAACAAACAAAACTTTATTAAGACGTATCCATGTTCAACAGATTTCTATCGCTACTCGTACATATTGAGATATTTAGCCGTCCGTTTTCAGAATCGGAAAAATAACCGGGCCAATGGTGTTGCACTATATACGCACAATACATAACAATTCACGGAAGGGCATAAACTGGAAACATTTTACTGAGAAAGTCAAGCTGTTGATCGGTTAGCGAAGAACGTATAAACCATGGCATGCTACAATGAGAGAAATATGGCTGTTTAGCCCTAATACAGGCACCACTACAATGAAAATATACATTGCTTTGCTTGCTCCTCATTTGCCCTCCGTGCTGGAAGCTTCGCATCATGTTGGAGGCTACGACTAGATCATGAGGAGGAAGCGGAATCTGCCCTCCCGGTTTAAGGGTGTTAGAACACCCATAACATATGCTCACTTGAGGTGGGCAGAACTTTAAGGGATAAACAATAAACTGCCCTGGCAGTGGGGATGGATATGGAACCCGCCCAAGCGCATTTGAAGGACTTAAAGGAAATGTCAGGGGCAGCTCTGACGGTTGCGAAACCACTGGTTGCGGAGCTGCGAAGGGCGGAGCTGCTGAAGGGTGGTGGCGCTGCAGATGGAGAGGGTGGAGGCGCTTTGTAGGCTGGTGGCACTGCGGTGGGAGGTAGTACAGGAGAGGGCGTCGGCGCCATGGAGGGTGATGGAGCTTGCTCACTGGCACTTGGTCGAGGCACAATGTTGACAGCTTGCCCTCTACCACCTTTCCTACGCGACGTTGAAGGTCTCTGGGATTTTTTGCCAACTGTTGGCGCGCTGTCACAGGTGACGAACTCGTTGTAGTTAAGGTGTGGCTGCTTCTCTTAAACCAAGTGAGATAATTCTGTAATTTACCGCACTTCTCTGCCACGGCTAAAGAATGTGCACATATTTTTGTAGACTTATAACGAGGACAGTCCTCGCATGTCACCTTCCCACTTTCTGCTAGTACAACATAATGTGGCCTTCCCTTGTCGCTTTCAACCATAAACGTATGGGGCTTAAAAGGTATTTCCACAATGGAATCTTTCTTGAGGAGAAGAATGGATGCTTGCCGGTACATCTCTTTTAGGGAAAGAAGAGCTACACCAGCTGCACCTGACTCCTCTGGTCTTACAGACAGCTCTGGAGGGCTGGTAAGGGAAGTGTTCTCTTCCTTGTCATCGTTTACATTACCACTGTCATCCTGCACATCAACATTTCTTCCAGGTACTTCTTCCCAGAACTTTTTCAAATGCCTTTCACGCTGACGAGCATTCAGGGAAAACCACTTGTCAGGAGACATTTGTAAGTGAAGGTAGTCGTCTGTGAGAGCATATGGACCTCTGTTTATTACGGCTGATTCACAGTCCCGTCGCTGCTGCTGAATTACTTTCTCCATCTTGTCGTTAAATTGTGACATTTCATTCTTTTGAAAGTCTACTCCCATTTTAATAATTTTATTTGCTGATTCTGGCATGTTGTTATAATATGCTTCTGGAGGATTTCCTAGGCCTGCATTCAACCGAATGGGGCGCAACATGTTGTCTTGGATCATTTTTTCCTGAAATAAAATGAGACAATGTTGTCCTTTAATTTAATAGCATAAGGCGTAAATTCTCTACATTTTCCATAACTATACATAAAACAAGGATTGTCGTACTTCAAAACGTTTTTTCTTTTTTTAAAGTACAAGTCAAGCTCGTGATTACGTTAAAAAGTTCCAAGTTCCGGAAAACGCAATAACAAAGGGATCTCTAGCTGGCTGGTTTAGAAATGAAAGGCCAGATGTCCGATTTCAATTGCAATTTGTGTCATTGGCCAACTGTTACTTACATTCTATTTATACATGTGACTTTAACCGAAATCCTTCGTTGACTCAAGTTTAAAATAAATCAATTTCCACTTACCCAGCTATCGATGTTTTCTTAGCCTTAGCCTTACTGATCTCCTTATTTAGCGCCTTTCGCCACAACCTCCCTATAAATAAAGAAACGAAAGAGGGAGCGAATAAAGCAAGGCTGGAGAAACGCAAAGAAGAAACTTCGTTTGGCACACTTTGGGACAGTACGCAGCTCCAGGTCTAATGAAATTAGACTAAATTAAACTAATCTAGTAAAGTAGGTTTTGCAATAACCGGTATTTACCTGAGCTCTTCCCAGTTGTGGTTTTCTTGTGTCGTTTGAATATTGGTGACGAGGTCGTGTCAGGGGGGCAAAAACACTGTAAATTGTGAAATAATGATTAATAAAATGAATAGCAGTTTGACTAACACTCAAAAACCTTTCTAATTGTGAAAGAAAACATGGTAGAAAATGCGGAGTGTAGTCCCGGGGGACTCCTTATAAGGGCTTAATGGGGACGTGCGGCCAGCCAGGGTATGTTTTTCGGGATTTTTGTCTTCAACAGGGTATCGATTTTATCATTTTTGTCTTAAACAGGGTATCGATTTTTTCATTTTTGTGTTAATCACGGTATCGATTTTATCAACTGTTAAGAGCTCCTCGTGACTCTGTCAATCAAGCTGTAAATAGTTTTGTGATTGCCAATGGATTAAATAAGAAAGAGTTTCGATATTTATTATTGTCTTACACAGGGTATAGTTTCGGGTTAAATGTCTTAAACAGGGTATCAAAAATCGGAATTCTGTCTTAAACAGGGTAGGAAAATCAGCGATTTTTGTCTTAAACAGGGTCAGGGTGTGAGGGACCGGGCCGCACCAAGGATATATCGAGTACCCCC